CCTACTGCATGTTCACTGAGGTAAGGTAACCATTTGTTGCAGGTGTGAACATGCACAAGACCTGGATTGCAAGATTCCGTGGAATTGTAGTGCAAGAGCTGGATTTTTTTGGGCGAAAGCAACAAGATTTGCATGTTCACTGAGGTAAGGTAACCATTTGTTGCAGGTGTGAACATGCACAAGACCTGTGGATTGCAAGATTCTGTGGATTTATAGTGCCGGAGTCCCCAGTGTGCAGTTATAGTGCAACGACCTAGAGTTCTGTGAAAGCTACAAGATTTGCATGTTCACAAAGGTAATTAGGTAACCATTTGTTACAGTTCTGAATGTGCACAAGACCTCTGGATTGCAAGATTCTGGCAAAGTAATGCTGCCGAATGAATGTTAATAAAGTTAGTGAACACAAAACTTAGGATATTTTTGTCTATAAACACTATTGGTATTTCTTTACACCGGGATTTTGATTGGAGTGATCAAAGTCCCCAAATCTTTAATTTTAAATGTCTGTTTCTTCAGTTTGACACATCTTGGGAGAACAAAACTCCCAGTTTAAAATGGTCTGTATAAATTTTCAGCTAAGAAGAAAAAGATTCCCTTGGATGTTTTGAAAGAGTTGAAACTGATGTCCTTTATTGTCTGTGCTGCTAGGGGCATTTTGTTTATAAAGGAATTTTTAGTGAGAACTTACGCCCATTTCAGTCAAACTTCATTCACAGAATTTGAAGAAAATTGATTAAGTAACCCTTGACGGTCCTAACAAAATCGTCCGGTTCCAAAATAACTTTTCAAAACTCTAGGTTGATGGGGGGGAGTAGGGTTCAGTAAATATGCTGATAAATGTGTGTTAACCCAAATCCCCAAGTACATGCACACCACATTGCCACAGATAGTTTATATAGGATTTTCTGAAATATGTTCTCTTGATGACACCTTTTGCTTATTTGTAATTGCATGTTTGTGATATCCTGCAGGTTACCAGGCTAAGGAGCATGTGTGAAAGGGATCTTTTTATCCCTACATCCTGATGCAGGCTGGGATACTAGGGCTGATGGGATCTGCTTTATCCCTGTGCCCTTCAGATCAGGATGGACTTTGGAATCAATTACCCCTACACCTGATGCAGGACCACTTTCAGCAGGACTATGGGATCTGCTTTATCCCTGTGTCCTTCAGATCAAGATGGACTTTGGAATCAATTACCCCTACACCCGATGCAGGACCACTTTCAGCAGGACTATGGGATCTGCTTTATCCCTGTGTCCTTCAGATCAAGATGGACTTTGGAATCAATTACCCCTACACCCAATGCAGGACCACTTTCAGCAGGACTATGGGATCTGCTTTATCCCTATGTCTATCATTTTCAGTTGGCAAGCTACTAGGGGGCTACTATTTCCCAGAGTACGCTTATTTGTAGCTCATTAGAGGGATCTGTTATATCCCTCTGAAGACTGTGACTATGGGATCTCCTATATCCCAATGTCATTAGGGCTTAGCTAGGTGCAGGAATATAAAATGGAAGGAAAACTTTGGAGTTTATTCCAGTTTGCAGGATGTGCGGTGATAAACATCCATGACCGAGGCTCCGATGTGAGACGTGGCTGTAAACCCAGAACATGGTGAAAGACAACGGACGCCAAGAAGCCCCAGATGGCTTCTCATCAGTTTAATTTTTATAACAGCATACAGGTAATTGCATCTATGCATAGGAATGGGGTATATTGCATCTCTATGAGGTGTCTCTGGCATGTAGGAAGCCCTGTTGGTATGGTTGGCAATGAATCGCTACCTTCCCAAATGTCGCTACATCATCCTGGCATGGGCTGGTGATTCAACTGACTAGGTACCAACTTAAAGCAAAACAGTTTACCCTATTTGCAAAATATTTCCGCCGGAATATACCAGATACATGTATTTACAGTCAAGTGAAGTGAACAGTTATGATCTGTCCAGAATTAGCCGCTTTCTGAGAAATTTCAGTTAAAATTGAAAGAAAGCCTCAGTGCGCAAATAAGATTTGAACCAAATAAGAAATATGAGAAGAAATTTCTTTACAGCGAGGAGAAAAATTTGTGTCACTAAAGTAGTAGGCAAAGTTTATGGATTCAATTCTGAAATGTTTCCTTTCCAACGTTGGTTTTTTAAGACATTATTACCTATGTTTTGATCTTTTTCCCTGCACAGCTTTCATTAAGGAACAACCACAAGGCCACAATATATGACAAAGATGAGAGCTTGGTGATGGCAGCAATGCTAGTAAGTACTTTTGTATACTCTTTGTATTCAAAACTACTAAACAGTTTCAATCCAGTATTTTCTACTATGAAGGAAATTTCAAAAGCAATTGGGAGAAATCCAAATGAGATTTGAACTAAACAGGAAATACAGGAAATTTCTTTACAGGGAAGAGAACAATTTGTTTCACTAAAATGGTAGGCACAATATGCATCATATTCCCAACAGTAGTGCTATTAAGACTTAGTATTTCATCATTTATTTCATAGTTTATCCCTACAGTTTTCATTGAAGAACAACCACAAGGCTATCTTGATAACATACATGATAGCATTCAGCATGGTGCTGGTAAGTACTTTGTACTCAAATGAAATTTGAGCTCAATAAGAAATATGAATAATTGGTGTTATAATAAAAACTTGTATTGCCAAAATAGTTGAAGTAATTCAGTTCTGGCAAAGGAACATGCATTTCCACTCTTCCAACCCTAATGATTTCAGAATCGTTTTCTTTACGTCATTTTTTTATGCATACAATTTTCACTGATAGACAACTACATCTACATGGCTACCCTGATATCACAGATGGTATAATTCAGCATGATGACAGCAATGCTTGGACAGGACCAAACACCGAGACATCAACTTTGGACTTCTGCATCTCCACCCTGCTGCCACTTTCATCCTAGACTTCAGCACCTTCACACGTACCCTCACTGCAATGACATTCAACCTCACCTTATCACCACATGCACCACTCACCCTTTCACCGTTCACTTTCACCCTAGACTTCAGCACCTTCACATGTACCCTCACTGCAATGACATTCAACCTCACCTTATCACCACATGCACCGCTCACCTGCACATCAATTCATGCCTCCACCACATTCACCTCCACTTTTGCACCATCACATTGGCAGCAAACATCAAGTTGTCAACTCCGAGCTGCTGCAGTTCTTCCAGCTTGGAATCTGCTCTCCTGATGTGGTCATTTCCTCATCTGTCCGAGATCTGTAGAGGTTAGTAAAGCTGCTACTACGATTGTCAATACCACCAATTTTTTCTTAACCCAAACCTTCCCCAACTGC